CCTCACCCCCCCATACCCCCTCTCACAAACATACACAAGCATGTTATTTCCAGTCTTAAAGAAATTGGTATTTTTTTTAATCTCCTTGATTTTAAAAATGGACTGCAGATCTGAAAAGTCTCCACTACCTCAAAAAAGAATTACAAATATCATCGAGTACCTGACATATGAGGTTTTTATATACTCTGTGAGAGGCCTGTACGAGAACCACAAATTCCTCTTTGTTCTACTCATGACCTTAAAGATTGATCTTCAGAGAGGGACGGTCAAGCACAAAGAGTTCCAGGCTCTGATTAAAGGTGAGATGCGGGGAGTGTGGCTGGGCTGGCTGGGAGTGAGAGCAGGGGCAGCATGGGCGGACGCTGACTCCAGTGGGCTCTTTGATATATTTGGACGCTGTTCCAGGGATGCAGGAGGAAACAGTGTGGTACCCTAATGATGCTGTTCCAGGGATGCAGGAGGGAACAGTGTGGTACCCTGATGATGCTGTTTCAGGGATGCAGGAGGAACCAGTGTGGTACCCTAATGATGCCATTTCAGGGATGCAGGAGGAAACAGTGTGGTACCCTAATGATGCTGTTCCAGGGATGCAGGAGGGAACAGTGTGGTACCCTAATGAAAGCAGCATTATTCTCTTAATCTCCCTCTCACGCTCCTCTGGCCTCTTTCAATTTCCACTGCTATAGTTCTGTTTACCAAAAATTTGGGCTTGTCCTGACCCTGTGTTTTTAGTTTAATTACTGTATTTGGTTTCATCATCGTTGCCCATGCTTTGGGAGCCTGTTGTCAAAGCGAGGAAAAGCTGGTGATGAACTTTATTCCTGCTGCCTCTCTGCTCCCCTTCCTCCTTCCCTCCCTTCCCTTTTTTCTTTCTCTTTTCTATACAGGACCTCACTGCATAGCTGAGGCTGACTTGGGATTTGACACACAGCACCAAATAATTTTAACAACATCAAACCACCAAAGTTCAGATAGGAGCTGCTGCCACACCCACCGCAGAGGCAGCGTGGCTCCTTGGTAGAGTCGGGTAGCTTCATGAATGGTCCCGAGGTTGGGTAAGGAGTGTGGTAGTGTGGAAACAAGGGCAGCCTGGCACACAGCCCAGACAAGATGCTGCAGAGCAAGGGCGTGTTCTGCTGGGAGGTCAGGATGTGCACCACAGCCTAGCATCCTACTAGTCATATAGGCCTTGTCAAAACTAAGAGGGTCCAGGGACACAGCCTGTGCCTGAGACACGTGCGGGTTGGAGCTACCCTCCCATCCAGACAAAGCCTCATTAATGATAGCAGCCAGACCAGAGATATTTGCCAAAAGAAACAGACCTCTTTGAAAGAGGGTTTGTGAGTGAGAGGAGGCTGAGACGCATAGAGACACGCAGGGGAGGGGTCTTTGCAGCAGGATAAAGATGGGCACTCACCTGGGCTGTGGTGGGAGCATATGTGGGAGCCCTTTTCATCAAATTGGAGAGAGAGATTGCACAGGGCCTGCACGGCCAGCCTGGGGACTTTGGGTTCAATTCAGCCGGCAGGAGGGAGCCTCTGAGTGTTTTATGGGCAGGGATGAGGCAGGAACAAAGCAGTGCTTTAGGAAGATTAATTTGGAATTGCACGGTCGGTTGATTGACAGCACTACAATCAGCTCAGCAGAAAAGGAGGGTATTTCCTGGACACAGCCGGTTTATTGTATGGTCTGCTTTAGTTTCGAACTGGCTTACATTTTGATGGAATTATTTTTTAAAGGATAGTATGGCTTATTTTTTTAAAATGCTTTTTCATAGACTTAACGAATAAACTCTTATATCATGGTTTTTTTTTTTTTTTTGGTTGTGAGCCTAGCCTTTAACGGCTGAGCCATCTCTCCAGCCCATGGACTTTTTTTTTTTCTTTTCTTTTCTTTTTTTTTTTTATCATTGTGAGCTCAGTACTCAAGGGAGAACTTCTGATATTTATGGCCACAGCAATGTTTGATTTCCCAGGAGTGACAGATCTTAGGTATCAATTATTTCTTGTTTTCTGCAGTATTTGTAAGGTGCCTTTGACTTGCTTCTCCAGCTCAGGATGTCAGGGCACTTTGGAAAATGAAATGGAGACCAGGGGCAAACCTGCCCTATAGATCAACAGATAGCCTTGTTTCCTTGCCGGTTTATTCTAGAAGAATATTATCTTTGTTTTGCTGTATGGGGGTTTTCATAAGCTGCTCATAAGACCCGAGTCTTAAAAAACCCGAGGAGGATACAAACTAAATGTCAAAATAGTCACTAATGATGGCGTAGCTTTTCCTAACCTCACAGCAACCTCGTGGTAGAGTCTGCTATCCCGTCATTCTGTTACTCTCATCTGACAGATGAGAGAACGGGGTGAGGGGAGAGAGAGAGGGAGGGAGGAGACCGAGTCCATTGTCCAAGGGAATGCAGGTGTAGGGTAAACAGCCAGGGTGTTTTGGGGAGGAATCTCCCTGTAATTTCTCCCATTTGGTTGAGGAATACATGTCTTGAAAGCACTGAGGTAGTCTAGCTGTCTTCTGACGCCTCAAGAAATGCTTCCTTGGAGAAGATCAAGAAGAAATGCAGGGGCGGGCTCCGTCCCTGTGGTAGAGCAGCATCAGTTGATGAAGGTGGCTGTTTCTCCCAGTTTCTACTTTTCTGTTAGCAGGAATGATGGAAGAGCAAAGCTTCTGCTTACGCTCAGTTTTAGGGGGCAAGAAGTGAGGAAGCTTGCGTGATATTTGAGGGTGTCACAGCTCTCGGAGCCGCCGACCCCTCAAGCCCTTTGTAGTAGAGAAAGGGGGTCTATGTAAGTCCGTCCTTCCTTTCTTCCTTCCTTCCTTCCTTCCTTCCTTCCTTCCTTCCTTCCTTCCTCTTTCTTTTCTTTTTCCTTCCTTCTTTTTTCTTCCTTTCCTTTCTTCTTTCCTTTTCTTTCTTAAAATACAACACTTCAATTTATACAGCTTCTCAGGAAGATACTAAATGGGGGAGCAAAGATCTGAACCCCTCGTATATTTTTATTGCCCTGTATGTTTTTGTGAAAGGGAAGCATTTGGTCAGAGTTGTGAGGTTAGAGATGGCTCAGCGGTTAAAAGCACTTTCTGCTCTTTTTTTAAAAAATAATTTTTTTAATATTTATTTATTTATTTATTATGTATACAATAATCTGTCTGTGTGTATGTCTGCAGGCCAGAAGAGGGCACCAGACCCCATTACAGATGGTTGTGAGCCACCATGTGGTTGCCAGGAATTGAACTCAGGACCTTTGGAAGAGCAGGCAATGCTCTTAACCTCTGAGCCATCTCTCCAGCCCAAGATTTATTTATTTATGTATACAGCATTCTGTCTGTGTGTATGCCTGCACACCAGAAGAGGGCACCATATCTCATTACAGATGGTTGTGAGCCACCATGTGGTTGCCGGGAATTGAACCCAGGACCTCTGGAAGAGCAGCCAGTGTTCTTAACAGCTAAGCCATCTCTCTAGCCCAATAATTTATTTTAAAAAACTATCTTTTCTCATTTTGCATCCCAGTTCCCACTCCCTCCCCTCTTCCCATTCTCTCTACCTTTCTCCCATCCCCCGTCCATTTCTCAGAGGGGGTAAGGCTTCCCATGGGGATTCAACAAAGTCTAGCATATTGCTTTGGGGCCAGACCAAGGCCCTCTTCATTCTATCTAGGCTGAGCAAGGTATCCCCCCCAAAGAGAATGGGTTCCAAAAAGCCGGTACAAGCAGTAGTTCCACTGCCAGTGGCCCCCACAGTCTGCCCCAGCCATACAACTGTCACCCACATTCAGAGGGTCTAATTTGGTCCTTTGCTGGTTTCTTCCCTGTCAGGGTAGAGTTGGTGGGATCCCATTAGCTCAGGTGAGCTGTTTCAGTGGGTGTCCCCATCATGGTCTTGACCTCTTTGCTCATATTCTCCTCCCACTCTTGGACTGGACTTTGGGAGCTCAGTCCAGTGCTCTCCTGTGGATCTCTGCATCATCAGTTGCTGGATGTGGGTCCTAGGGTGACATTTAAGACAGCCATCAATCTGACTAAAGGGCAAGGCCAGTTCAGGCAGCCTCTACATAATTGCTTAGGGTCTTAGCTGGGTCATCCTTGTGGATTCCTGGGAATTTCTCTAGTGCCAGGTTTCTTACTATCCCCACAATGGCTTCCTCTCCCTTTTGTTTCCTCCCTCTGTCTGTTTATCTAACCATCTAATTAACATGGTGGGAAATATTACAGAGTGTGGAACTTGTGGAGGAGCGGTGGTGGCTGATAGGCAACTATAAAAGTCACACAAAGACAGATCATTCTATCCATTGATAAAAATTTTACAAATCCCAGATTGGTAAGGAAAAATAAAAGCCACCACAACAATTCAAGAGTCCAATGGTGTCTTGTTATTGGGAAAATAAATTCCTAAGAGTGAATAGCAAACTGGTGTTATTGATGTGTCTTGCATGTCTCCCCAGGCGGAGCAGCTCTGGACCTGAAGGCGTGTCCCCCCAAACCCTTTCGCTGGATCCTGGACATGACGTGGCTGAACCTAGTGGAGCTCAGTAAGCTCCCCCAGTTTGCAGAAATTATGAACCAGGTAAAGGAAGAGGGGCTACATAAAACATAGATGAAAACACAGTCGATTGTTTAACCAGGGCCTCCCGCTGACAGTTTCTACCCGCAGGGGAAGAACAAGTGAACACAAGGATTTAGATGGGTGTGATGGTCCACGCCTGCAGTCCCAGTCCTCAGGAGACTGAGGCAGGGGGATCAGGTGGTCAGGCCATCCTGACCGACATAGTGGGACCCTGGCTTGAAAGCAAAACGAAGATTAAATCAGTGGTTCTCCCCCTTCCTAATGCCGCGACACTTTAGTACAGACCCTCAAGTTGTGGTGAACCCAACCATAAAATTCTTTTTGTTGCTGCTTCAAAGCTGTGATTTCGCTACTGTTGTGAATCATAATGTAAACATCTGTGTTTTCCAGTGGTCTTAGGCGATCCTATGAAAGGGATTGATCCCCAAAGGGGTCTTGACTCACAGGTTGAGAATCACTGGATTAAAGCTAGTGCAGCCTACTGGGTGGGGGAGGTGGGGTGTGGATGGACGAACTTCAAAGGGAGCTTTTCACAGGCTTTGTGTATGTGCACGACTATGCATGCACGTGTGGGCACAAGCATGCAGGAGCCAGAGGTTAACCTTGGGTGTCGTTCTTTTGGCTCCATCCATCCTACCAAGTAGTGCAGGTTGTCCGGGATAGAGTCCCAGGGCTCTGCTGTCTCTACTTCCCTGGCGTCGGGATTCCAAACTCATGCCACTACAGTCAGCTTTTTACATGGATCCTCATGGAAAGCATGGCAGGTGCTTTCTCAGCTTAACCACTTCCAGCCCACCCCCTCCAGCCTGTTCCCTTACCCCAGCCCCCAAGGGAAGAGCAATTGAGCCACTGTAATCTCCAGGGGACAGTTTAGAAGCACTTCAGAACCCCTCCCCTGTCTCATACTGCCCCAGGGACAAGGCTGAAGCAATTGAACTGCAGAGGTAATTGGTTAACAGCCAGCTCTCTGTCGGTGTTCTCTACTGTGAACTGCTGACGGGATACCCAGCTCTGAGTGGGTTCCCACCTCTCTGTGTCCCAAATAAGAAGGAGCTGGACAGATGGAGCTAACCGTGCAAGCATGAGGACCTGCCACCAGACCCTTGAGACCTGCGTTTTAAAAACAAAACCCCCAAAACAGACAAACAAACAAAAAAACCCTGGGAGAGTTGACACATGTCTGCCATCCCAGTGCTTGGGAAGCAGAAACAACAGGATCTCTGGGGCTTGCAGGCCAGCCAGTCCAGCTGCAGTGGGGAGTTCTGGGCTCAGGTGAGGGTCCCTGCCTCCAACACTAAGATGGAGCATGATGGGGGAAGTCACTTGGCCAGGGCTCGCGACTGCTGAGTGGCTCAGATCCACAAGCACATGTATGTATATAACACGAGGCGGGTGGGGTGGAGGGAGGGAGGGAGGGAGGGAGGGAGACAGAGGAAAAAGTTCAGCCCGTAGGTCTGGCACATAGGATCTGAGAGGTGAACTTCTGCCGTCCGCTTTTAATGCTCACTATAGATTTCTCAAAAAAGTGCTGACAAACCATCTTGAGGACCCCAGCCTGGCGGCTGCTGAGGGTTATGAGACAGACTCAGCAGCACAGGGCTTCTAATTAGACTCAATGGCACTAGGGCAGCAGGGGCACCTTTTAATGCTCCTGCACCCCCAGGTCCCCTGCATGCGTTCCGATGAGCAGCTACTTGAGACCCACTCGGAGAGGCTTCTCCCGCTCTCAGCTTTAATGTCTTGCTAGGAAAATGAAAGTTTGGATTTTTGGCTTCTCTTGCTATTTTTAAATAGAGATCAGTGTTCCGGGGAATTGGTCCACCTCCGTGGTTCTCAGTGGAGAGTAGTTTTGTGCCACCCCCAGCAGGGTATGTGGCAGTGTCTGGAGACATTGCCGAACATTCAGACTCGAAGGCAGGGATGCTACTGGCATCTAGTGGGTAGAGAACGGAGATGCTGCGAAGCATGCTTGCTGTTACCAGAGAGATTAGGGTTAGAGCCTGTCCTCACAGGCTCAGCTGCCTGTCCCAGTAAGCCAATTAAAGAGACCAATTGGTAGTGAAAAGCAGGAGAATGAGATTCAGTGCAGCCGCACTGGAAAGAGGGACAGAGAGATCTCGCAGAGAGCTGGTGCCTCCCTGCTCCGGTCTGACTCTGCAGGGGTGACCCGGGGGTCAGGTGTAAACTGTGGGGAGTCAAGAGGCTTGCCAGAGTAAGCAGGCCGGCTCACGGTGACATTCTGCTGCCACTGAATCCCCCATTGTGCCGGCTCCAGTCTCTGATGCAAGGTGGCCTAAGACAAGTCGCAAACCATTCTTCATGAGGCAAGTCCTCTGGCTGCTCACAGGGCCTCGGCCCTTTCTTCTAGCATGAGATTCCTGGGTGGAATTACAACTTCTAGGGACCTGTGGTTTGAATATGTTAACCGCAGAGGGACACAAGTGTTTCTCTTGCCAGTTACACTACCACACCGAGGACAGCCCTGCACTTCATAAAAATGTCCATCCCCAAGGGTCAATGAAGTGCCATGACTGAGAAGCCTTGATATAACTGTTTGTGTCACGGATACATTATTCTGACTGTAGTGAACAAACCCAGGAAGGCGACTAGCAAAACTGAAAGCAACAGTAACACTGTTTGTATGTTATTCAGGTCGTTGTAGACAATAGTGGGATTGTTTTGCTTTGTAAGCCAAGAACCAGCAAGAGTAGCTCTCTGGGGGTCCTTTGGAAGGTCTGCTTCATCCCGATCTCATGCAGTCTTGCGACTTAGTTATTGGCTTGTTACTCTTAGATATCTCGGAATGAGAAGGGGTGGAAGAGCTGGTTCGATAAAGACTCCCCGGAGGAGGAGATCATCCCTGATGGATATAATGATTCCCTGGATACCTGCCGCAAGCTTTTGCTCATCAGGTGAGCACAGGGCCATCGAGATCTGGAAGCATCACTCACTGGACCTCATCATAAGTCTGACCCCGGCAGACAACATCATCGCGTTCCCCGCTGTTCTGTGCATTGTGTGGGGACGCAGCCCTGCAGTTCCTTGACAGTAAATGATAGCCGGAGAGAGGTCTATTTCAACAATGTATTAGCAGTAAGGCTTTCAGAGAAAGCGGGAAAGATAATGTTTTTATGTCTCTTTTATCCATTTGATCGTGGGTGGATCATTCATTATTGAATTTACCTCTGTAAAAAAAAAAAAAGAAATGGAACTTGGGCTGGTGGGATGATGGTTCATTGGGTAAAAGTGCTTGCTGCTGGAGGTTTGAATCCCCGGACCCACACTGTAGAAGGAGAACCAGCTCCAGCAAGTTATCCTCTAATCTCCACTCTCATGCTCTGGCTTGTACACAAGCACACACACACACACACACACACACACACACACACACACACACACCCCACAGAATATGAATAGCAAAAAGAGGTGGATTATTTAGGGCAGTTTTGTTTTCTACTGTAGCATACCTGAGCTTGCCATTGGGAATGCTGTTTGCTGACTGTTGTCACCCATGAGAGTGACCGGGGTGGCCGCAGTGGTGACCCCCTGCTCAGTAGAGTATGAAAGGGTTACTTGTTTTCACTGAAATAAGCCATTTGTCTTATACCAACTCCTCACATGATTAAATCTGTGCTCATCCAGGGATAGCAAAGCTAGCCACCCCTCTCATACAGCCCCGCGGAAGGGAGGATGCGCCTGCTGCCCCTTTGTTAATTAAACGCATGGCCTTTTCACCTTCAGAATTAGAGACAGAGGGGGAGCATGTTGAACTTACTTCCTCTAATTTTTTATTCATTTCAAGATCTTGGTGCCCAGACCGCACCGTTTTTCAAGCAAGAAAATACATCGCGGACTCTCTGGAGGAGAAGTACACTGAGCCAGTTATCCTAAATCTGGAGAAGACGTGGGAAGAAAGTGATACACATACGCCTCTGATCTGTTTCCTGTCCATGGGCTCTGACCCCACCATCCAGATTGATGCCCTGGCCAAAAAACTGAAGTTGGGTATGACTGACCCTTTGTGTATGAAGTTTAACAGCACACCCATGCTTGCTCTGAATATCACCTCTCGCGGGTGATTCTTAGAGAAGAATCTGTGGCCAGGCTCGGTGGTGCACACCTTTAATCCAGCATTTGGGAGGTAGAGGCAGGCAGATCTCTGTGAGTTCAAGGCTACCCTGGTCTACATAGTGAGTCTCAGGCCTGCCAGGATTACATAGTCAGACCCTGTCTAAAAAGAAAGACAGAGAAGAGGAAAATTGTCTATGAAACAAAGCTATATTTAAAAATTAAACTTTTCCCCCCTTTTGTCCATTTGTACCTGAGACACAGGTGTCTTTGAGCAGACCTTGAGAAAGCTGTATCTTTCTCAGACTGTTTCATCAGCAGATGGCTGTGCTGGTGGACAGCAGGACGCAAGAGTGATAAGGAGCCATCATGCGCTGCTGCCACGTTTATATAAAAAGACACCAAAGTGTATTTTGTTATAATCTGAAAAACTAGAACCATTATTGAAATGTCTGATGGCCAGGGATTCATTTGTTCATGCTTTCGTTCAATAACAAGTTAGTAATGAGTCATTCAGAGGTTTGGGGCTAAGCAGAGCACAGCTGGAGCAGACAGATGTGAACGTACCCCAACAGGATGTGCGACAGCTGTAACCGCATTCTGTAGGAATAAATGATGATCATAGGTTCATAGCTGCACAGATTCTGGAGAAAGCACCACGTTCTTTAAGATGTTATCTTATTTTTAATTATGTGTTTGTGTGTGTCTGATGTCGGTATGTGTGGTGAATGTGGGTACCAGAAGAGACTTACAGGCATTTGTGAACGGCCTGATGTAGGTTCTGGGGACTGAACTTGGCTCCTCTATAAAAGTAGCAAGTTAGCTACTGAGCCTCTTAGCCATTGAGCCCTCTCTCCAGCCCTGACCCCTTATAAAGAAGCACCATGTTCTTGATATGAGATTATTTCTTCATTACCAATAGGAGACAGAAGGAATATTATCCCAGGGCAAGAACTTATAGCACCTAAGCAAGGCAGCAGTGATACAGTCAGTGGGGCTCAAGGATGGGGACACTGCCCTGAGAATGGAACCGTTGATTCTCTCCACATACTCAGGGAGCCTGCGCGTTATTGGCATTGCTACATAAAGTCGCTATAGCCATACTTGCAGGGTTGATTAATTTACTTTGTAAAGATTAGGAAAGCAATTTATGGTCAGCAAGAAGGTTCAGCTGGTAAAGGTGTCTGCTGCCAAGCCTGATGATCTGAGTTCAATCCCTGGAACTCACATAAAGGTGGAAGGTGATGACCGACTCCAACAAGTTGTCCTCTGATTGCCAAACTTAGACCATGGCATGCATATGCATACACACACACACACAGAGTCAGTCAGACAGATGGGGACACACACACACAAACACTAAAGACAGTAAAAGCATTTTTTAAAAAGTTCAGCATCCATATTTGACGTTGCAAAGCTAGGAGCAGAAGACCCTGTGAAGTGATTGGTGTGCTGGAGGCGTTGGCAGCAGCCTTGCTGGTGAACAACTGAGACATACCCATTAAAGTCAGACTCAAGACAAAGATGTCTGCCCACTGCCACGGTGATTAAACATCCTGGTGGAAGATACAGCTAACGTATTGTGAGAATCATAAATAAAAGATGTAACTACCGAAAAGGAGGGACCAAAAATGCCACCATTACTCTCAGACAATGTAATCGCCTAGCTCAAACCAGGAATGAATCAACTGAAAATTATCCTACTTAATAGAACAGTTCAGCAAGGTGGCTACTCACAACATAAATATTTTTTTTAAAAAAAATCAATTGTGCTTTCTTGTAAAAATAAAATGTAAAAATTCCATTAACTTAGCAATAAAGATGAAATGGGTCATTTAAAAAATACCCATTTAAAGAAAAATATAAAACTTTCTCAGTGACATGGAATGTTAATTCAAATAAATAGGATTAAAACTGATTCCCAGCATTAGAATTCAATATTGTAAAGGTGTCAATATTTTATAGATTAGTCTGTAAATCGAATATAAGTCTAATTGAAATTCAAACATCATTTTCCCCTAATTGGATCCCAGGAAGATATTAGATCATCAGCATAGACGGACAAGAATAGCCACAGAAGCTTGAAAAGAAAAAAACAGTAATTGGAAATGACCGCTCTTAAATTTTTAAAGCTTTATCAAATGGCAATAATTTAACCAGTGTGCAACTGGCTAAAAACAAGTAAACAAATCAATAGGGCGAAATGAAATGCCCCCAAATTAGACACACACACACACACATGCGTGCTATCACATATGCACACATAAACACATGCATACATGCATGTATGAACACATGCATGGATACACAAACACATGCATGCACATACACATGCATATGCATATACACTCTTTTGAAGTCCAATCTGTGTTGTCACCATGGAAAGCCAGGTCCTTCTTAGACAAAAGGAGGGAAGGAGACAGTGGTAAAACTGGCATCTTGTTATTGTGAGCTTCTTGTGTTGCAGAATGTAGAACTATCTCAATGGGACAAGGACAAGAAGTGCATGCTCGAAAACTGATTCAGATGTCCATGCAACAGGTATGCAGCCAGGGAGCACCATTGTTTTGACTTAAGCACTACCATCCCCCCATCCATCTGGTCTACCTTGGAAGCGATAGTGATTGGCAGCATCCTTCCTCTGATGTTCATTTTCCATTCGTGTTGCATGGCCAAACCTTTGGTCATCTGTGAACCTTACATCTCAAGGCAGTTTTCCTCCTTGTAGCTCTATAGAAAGGACAGTTTTCTATGTCCTTTACAAGCTTCTTGTTTTCTATGCTCCACATTCATCTCTTTTTTTTTTTAATCTTTCCATCCATCTATCTGTTTACAGTCTAGGCACAACAACTGGTTCCTAAGGTTACAGCACCAGCCTTCTTGGAATTTCATGGTCACTACTAATATAAGGAAAAAAATCAGGGCCATTAAATTTCAATTTTCAGTTAAAGGCAGGCTTTCATTTTTTTCGATAATGGATCATTTTTCAGGCAAATAAGAAATAGTTGAGAACTTTTTGTTTAAGTATTGATGACGATCTTTATTGAAGTGGAATGTTGAGAGGAAGTTGATGTTGTGCCTAATAAATGCACAGATCGTTAACTTTCTAGAAATGCTTTTGCAGATAGCCATCTCAGCTGTAATAAGAAAGGGCATAATTTATAAACGTAAGATAGAAATCTTGGTTTGTTTTTAAGTGTTTGATCTCATCATGTCTGTGGCAACTGTGTCACGGCTCTTCCCTGGGAATTAATGACCAGTGAGGGGTAATGGTCCAAAGCTCTACTTAGGTCATCAAAATTTCAAGCTGGTCATTAATTTTCAAGTGCCCTAAGCCTTAATCTTTATCACCTAATTAAATTCAATAATAAATTATATTTAATTTATATATCAAGGCAATGATGTGCAATTATTTCTACTTGAGTCAGATCTTCCACCCTTTTAGGTGATTTGTCTGTTCTACTTTGGGAAAAATTGATCCTTTTTATAAGTTTCAGTGAGCAGGAAAACTTTAGAATATTACATTGACTTTAATCTTCTTTGGGATGATAGTTTTTGTAACTTCCACATCTGTTTCTCACAATGTACTGATAAGGGCATTATCTGAAAGAAAAAAAATAAATGCAAGTGTGGCCGTAATGTGACCTTGAGAACCTCAGATTTCAAACACATCCGCTGTCACTGAACGCTGAGTGAAGGACCAGAAAGCACGGTGTCCATGGTGCTGAATTTCATCTTCTATAACTCACGAGAAGCCCAATGCATCCTCTGTGCTATTTAAGCCAGCCTGACTCAGATTTTTTTTCCTTCCAATTGAAGGCACAGTCTAAATACCTTATCATGCATTTACTGCATTTAACAGTTTGTAGATGTAGTTATCCAGTCTACTGTAGTTACATCTAGATATTAAAATGTTGACTTAGTGGGCACAGTGATGTGTACCTGTAATTTCAGTACTTGGAGGTTAGAAGAAAGAGCCTTGGGAGTTCAAGAGTAGCCTAGGCTACACAGTGAGTTCAAGGCCAGCCTGAAGTATAGAGCCTGGCACTGACTCAGCAAACGAGCGGATAGTCTTGTTTTCATAGGGGAGTGATGGCCTCTGACTTACTGTTAAAAGGTGCTATACTTAACCCTTTTAGGCGGAGCTTAATAAATCATATTTTCAGCAGTCCCTGGGAAAAGGGATGACAAACAGTATGATTTAGAGCTTGGCTAGCAAACGCCAACACATACATCATCTCTGACTTTCAGAAGGTACAGGCACTTTTATGGATGACTGTGAAGCTGTCCTCTTGGTGTGCTGTTGAGTGGGTTCTCACCTTAATCAAGCCTGTGCAAGTTACCAACCTCACCATTAGATGGCACACACACTCAAGTTTTCATTTCTAATCTCTAAGGAGCTAGGGGTGCCAGAATGCAACTTCATCACAGTGGTTAGCCACTTGACTCGAAGTCTCCAGATTGGGCCAGGAGCAGATGACAGTGTTGACAAATAGATTTTTTTTAAAATTATTAAATATAGACTCAAACCAATCATGCCATAAGCAAACTTATTTTTGAAATGGTGCATTTTGTTTTGGTAAAATAATCACAAGATATGAGAAATAAATATGGGCTCTTTTTTGGATACAGGGTGGCTGGGTGTTACTGCAAAACTGTCACCTTGGTCTAGAGTTCATGGAAGAATTACTAGAGACGCTGTTGACCACGGAGACCATGGAGGACTCTTTCCGAGTGTGGATAACCACGGAGCCCCACGACCGGTTCCCAATCACATTACTCCAGGTTTGTTACCAAGAGTTAACCAGGTTCACAACATAGTTCATGACAGTACTGAAGGGTGGATGGGAAGGGCAAGATGGTTGGATCAAAGTGCTTGCTGCTAAGCCCAGCAACCTGAGTTTGACCTTCAGAACATGTGTGGTGGAAGGAAAGAACAAGGTGTCCCCTGACCTCTACGTCTGTGCTGGGGCATATGCTGGGCCACCCAAAGAATAAATAAATGTCACACAGTTTGTAAATGAAGGAACACAGCAGAGTGTATAAATCTTGGCTATGGTAATCAGGCTGATATAGTTAAATCACAAGAGAGTTCTAAGGTCATATTAATTTATCGGGTTTGTCCTCTGATCAGTGTAATTGGCTTTTACTCTGCTGAATTCCAGACCACATACTCTATGCTATAAGCATGTTGTTACCTAACATAATATGAGTTCTCCTTTATTAATTGACTTATTTTATATGTGTGGTTGTTTAAACTCTATGTATCACGTGCATGCAGTGCCCTTGGAGACCAGAAGAGGGCACTAGATCCTTTGAGATTGGAGTCACAGACAGTTGTAAGCTGCCACATGGGTGCTGGGAACTGAACCTAGGTCCTCTGCAAGAGCAACCAGTGTTTTAGCCACTGAGCCCTTTCCCAGTTCCCCTATAGTACTTTGTAACAATAACACAACTGCTTCTCATGGCAGACTTCTCTCAAGTTCACAAACGAACCACCCCAAGGTGTGCGGGCAGGCCTGAAAAGGACGTTCGCCGGAATCAACCAAGACCTCCTGGACATCAGCAACTTACCCATGTGGAAGCCCATGCTCTACACAGTGGCCTTTCTGCACTCCACTGTGCAGGTAACCAGGAAAGAAGTGTTCACTGCTAGGGGGCGCTGATGAGTTGATGTTGTGACCATGGGAGAGAGCCCTGGGGAGGATGGCATAAGCTTCCATGCCCCCACTTCCTTCCTAGCATTTCACCCCACCTGTGATTCCGCCTGTACCCCTACTGTGTAACCGTGAGCTTCTTGGCTACAGAGGCTTCACCTTTGATCCTGCGGACTCACTCTCCTGCAGTCATGCCATTGTGAGGCATAGTTGGGGAGCCTTAGTCGTTTTTCCTTGCTATGAGAAATCCCTGAGGGAAACAGTTTAAGGGGGAGGCCTTTCGTTTGGTTGCAGATGGTTAAGTCAGAGGGCTCTGTCACTTGGCATCAAGACAAGGAAGACACATTAGTGTCAGGAGCAAGTGGCAGAGGTTGATCATCCCATAGTGGCCAGGAACCGGAAAACGAGACAGAATACTGCCGCAGATCAGATACCACTCGAATTCTGTATCCTCAAGGGACCTACTTCCTGCAACCCAGTCCTGAAGTTTCCACTACTTCCAAAATGGCACTGCCAAGTGGACACTTGACCTTCAACACATGGGCCTGTGGGGGGCGTTTCCTACTCAGACCACAACGCTGAGCACAGCAAATATTTGTACAATGAACAAACAGATTATTAAGAACAAAACTTGGACTCGAAAGTGCCTGGGTTGGCCAAGAATTTTATCCACATCCTCTCAGAGAGCAGCAACCACTGCTTTTCAAGATAGGGTTGAAAATGAGGCAGCTGCCCTGGGGAGATGGCTCAATCAGCCCGTTGCTTGCCTTGTAAGCCTAAGGACCCAGGTTCAACTCCAGAACCTACATATAAAGAGCTGGGCATGGTGCTTCACACTTGAAATCTTGGTACTGAGGAGGCAGAGGCAAGCAGGTCCTTGGCATTCACCAGCTAGCCACCTAGACTACTCAGTGAGTTCCAGGCCACTTAGAGACTCTGTTGTTAAAAAAAAAAAAAGTAGACAGTGTCTAAGTATCGACTTTCAAGGGTTCTTTTCTGGCTTCCATGTACACACATGCTCACACGCACGTGCTCTCGCAAGCACGCGCACACACACACACACACAAACATGCACATGTATACACATGTTGGAGGGGAGAGCTTGTTGGTTCCCAGCTGCCTGTCTAGCTTGGACCCGAAATATCACACAGAAACTATATTAATTACATCACTGCTTGGCCCATTAGCTCTAGCTTCTTATTGGCTAACTCTTACATCTTAATTTAACCCATTTCTATTAATCTGTGTATCAACACATGACTGTGGCTTACATGCTAAAGTTCCCAGCATCCATGGCTTCTCCCTCTGACTCCGCCTTCCTCCTCCCGTTCTATAGGCCAAGCCAGTTCTTTATTCATTAACCAACAAAAGCAACACATAGACAGAAGGACCTCCCACACCATACACACATATATACATGCATACACATACACACACATACGAAAACTAAGGCAACTGAGTCTTAGAGAGCCTGTGTCATCCATGGTAGATCTGGGGTGTCCTGGCTATGATGGACAGTTCAGTCCCTAGTTCTTAGCAGCTGGTGTGAGGAAGGGGTAACCACCCTGCCAGGCTGATGCTGACAGCTTTCACACACCAGTTAACTTCTGTTGATTATTACTAATTGCTTATGTTGTGATTTAATTATTTTATAGTTATTAAGAAAGTTACTTGTAGGATTTTTGTTTAAAAAAAAAAACTCCGTTTTAGGTGTGGCTGAATTAAGTGTTGGACAATGTCATGCCTTTAATTCACATAGGGTATTCTTGGTTTCATGGGGACATGAGGGAGCTACTTTCTGTGTCTCTACTTTCCACAGGCTTGGGAGAAGGACAAAATGAGCCTTTGGCTGTGTCCTGGCGCGTGTAATCTCAGCTGTGCCCATATGGAGTACACAAGTCCCTTCATGCCCCCCAAGGAAGTAGGGAAATCTACAGTTTCCCTCAGGAATTGCTACTGTTCCCTGGCTCATTGTTCCCAGCACTGCGCTGGGTCCTGGGCGGCCTCCAGAGGGCAGGGGGTGTTTCTCCATCCCCCGAGTCTGGGAGAATGCACGTAGACTTGCACACTTCGTGGATAGTCATTTTGACTAAGTTTCTCCATGGCTTTTAGATTGTAAGTTACAGCTCTCCAGAGACCGATTTCATGCAGTCCTATCTGAGGATTGTTCCCCTTATCATGCTCCAGTTCAAATACTGCTGTGACCCTGTTGTTTGATCCCCCATTCACAGATAACAATATTTTCTGACTATTCCCAGTCACAGTGACTCAACTCTTCCACTGAGCTTGCCCTGGAGAGTGGTTGTGGGGAGGGATTTTTCCATATAGTCAGTGTGCCAACTCCTGCTTTTAGTGGGCTTTGAGTGCTGAACAGAAGAGCCCCAAGCCTCTGATCCAACAGGGGCCAAACTGTGCTTGTAGTGAACAAGATTCATGTTTAGGTTAAAACAGAGAAAAAGCAATATTTCTGCTTCCAGAGCTGGGAAGCGAATAATGGAATGTCAGTATAAAAAAGATTGGGGGTCTGGCAAGATGGCTTACGTGGGTGAAGACCCTTGCTGCTTTCCACAGCTACCAGAATTCCATCCTTGGAGCGCATGGCGAAAGGAGAGAACCGACTCCTGAGAGTTGTCCTTTGACCTCTACCCTCAGAAGTTATGTTATCCATGGTACACACACACACACACATGCATGCAAACACACATGCATGCACACACACAGCATTTGCATGCACACACACTCATGAGCGCACACACACATGCATGAGAGAAAGAGAGAGAGAGAGCACAAAACAAAATATAATGATTTTTTTTTTTTTAAAAATTGATCCTGGAGAGCTCCTGTGAAAACTCGGGGAAAGGCCACCTGTGTCTGCAGCCTCAGCGCAGCGAGGTGGAAGGGGTGAGAGTGGAGGGGAGGGAGGTGCAGGTAGGTCGATCTCTGAGCTCCCTGGCCAGCCAGTCTAGTCCGATTGGTGGGTCCAAGGTTTAATGAGAGGCCTTGTCTTAAAAAAAAAAATCCTGTGGTTTTTTTTTTAGGTTTTTTGTATGCGTGCGTGCGTGCGCGCGCATGTGTGTGTGCACACGCTTGCTTGTACATGTACATGCATGGAGGTATACAGGTGTCTGAAGAGGTCAGAAGAAGGCATCAGATATCTTCTTGGAGCTGGAGTTACTCATGGCTGTGAGCCAACTAATGTGGGTGCGGGGAACTGAACTCTGGTTCCCTGGAAGAGCAGTCTGAGCTCTAAAATACTGAGACATCTCTCCATACATACATATTCATATATGTGTACCTATATGCCTAATATGTGTGTATACATATACATACATATACTCATAGACGTATGCATCCATCCATCCATCCATCCATGCATACATATCCAGGAATCTAATGTGTAAACAACACCTGAGTTCTGATGCATACAGGAAAGCTTGAGATGTGACTTCTCAAAGGAGCTGTGGCTAAGATGAAGATGAAGATGATGATGATGCAGCCAAGCGTGGAGGATGGGAAGACTCCATTTTCATTTAGTAATTCCCCATATGATTCTGATACACAACAAAAATTGAGAATGATGCTGGCCAACCGCATTTAAGGGAGGAGTCCACTGCCATTTTTACAACTTTCTCATGTTTGGGAATTCCTCCTCTTATCCTTGTGGTTTGCCCATAGAGCTTCTAACACCTAAGACCTTTATAGCGATTTATCTATGGAGTTTTTACTGTTTTTCTGCGACAGTCATTCTGCTCCTGGTCCAGGATAACAAGCCCCTGAGGGGTTCTGGGATCTCCAGAGTCCTGCAGTGGTACTTGTAAATGTGGACTTTTTTTTTTCTTTTTTATCTCAGTCCTTAAAGTAATTTAAACATTAAATAAATAAGCACAGTCATATCACCAGGGGCCCAGGAAATGCCACCGTCAATACGTGTTCATTCAGGAAAGTGTTGCCCTCCTCCGTGCTTTGTCCTGTCTGGTTGAAGTCTTGACAAAACACCCCTTTTCAAACTCAATAATGCACGTAAAAGTTCTTGCTTTGGCTAGCATACTTAGAAGATCCTGGTTTAAATCTCTCCCAATAGTCACAGTGGCACGATGCGGGTTTCTCTCTCACGTTCCCGTCCTCGTGTCTCCGACCCATTCTCACCGTTTTTTGCCCGTGATCCTCTTAACATTACACTCATATTATTTAGTACAGAGTGTATTCATTTTAGTGTGGACCTCATTTCCCGGTTTTACAAGGTTTGGTAGTTAACTACAGCCAGGGAAGGGCATTGAGCGCCCATAAAGTCAGGGCGAGCTTCAGCACCACACAAATGACCGCTGGGCATGCTCTCTTCAGCGATCTCAGGACAGTTCCATATTTCATCGCAAGTTCAGTTTCCTGTGTTCCTCAGTGGAGGAAAGGAACTCTGCAAAGCGCTTGCTAGGCAAGCATGAGAGCCTTGGTTTAGATTCCCAGAACTCCTGTCCAGTGCTGACTGTGGCCGTCCATGTCTGCCATCCCAGAGATGAGGAAGTGGAGACAGGCGGACCCCTGCGGCATGTCCCTTAGCCTATCTATCCATCAAATCAGGTGCAGTGAGAGACCCTGTCTCAAAAAATAATATAGAGAGCGAGACAAGAAAGCATTCAGCTCTGCCTTCTAAACACACACACACACACACCACACACCCCTCCCCCCACAAACACACACACACACACACACATCAACACACATGCGTGTGCGAGAGGGGGGAACTAGATTGTTCAAACTGTATGTGGAACACTCTGGCCCTTAAAATCATCCCCTTCCTGTTTGCCATTTTCTGAGTGTGTGTGTGGGGGTTTGTGTTCAAATCTGTCTATAGTGCGCCCCAAAGAACGTGAGCCTGGGGACCCTGCTGCTCCCAAAACTTGCCCTGGACCGCAGTAGGACCTTCTGCCTGCCGTCCTCCCCACAGACTTGGTGCCTCTGTGTTTTCTCCATCC